CTCTATGACTGAATCATCACATCTTTCGGTGTTTTCTTATTTTGATAAGACTGCTCAAAACGTTTGATGTTAGAATGCTTCAGCTTTGTTTCGAAGAGAAAGAATAAAAAAGCAAAGTTTTTGCAGTTCCCTGGAACGATCCTACTCAACGCACACTTGTTAATAAACCTAACCTGCATCTCGTTCAATTTCAATTGAACCTCCTCTATTGAAGCCTCTTTCAGATGTGCAAGCAATTCTGGATCCCATCTACAAGAAGTTCGAAGACTCCAACAGAAGTGGTTACCTCGATGAAGCTGCAAAGATCTATCATAGCCAGGCGGTCGTTGTGGAGAAAGGCAAAAAAGCCACGTACGGAAAAGAAGGTGAGAAACTGGCATCTCTATTGATAACTATAGAAATTATTAGCTAAAATTTGCCGGTATAAGAATTCACGTTGTATAAGCAGGAGGAAGACACCCTTCATAACATGCAGACCAGTCAGGAACACTAAGGGCTCGAGAATAGTAAACCGCCCTCTTATAAGTACCTCCCATTGCTATAAAGTCCTCATCGCAGGCACTGCTCTCAAGGGACAGACCCAGTCACGGGTTTCAAACAAAATCGATGGTTCTGTAGTACCTCGGCTAAGGAGCGGTTCAAAGCGTAACGCTGACACCCCTTTCTCGAGAGTACCATTGATCCTAACGGCATTCAGAAATACGTTTCTCTTCTCCTTATGCCCAAACTGAAGTTTGGAGGTATACTTCTGAATGTGTAGGAGTCCCGATCCATTAACAGCAGTCGCTATTTTGAAGAAGGTACTCAACGTCATCTCTCGATGACGAGTTCGGCTTACCGTCTGTCTGTGCGACATGCCGTTCGACATGCTCCCGTCCAACACCTCTTCCACTAGCTAAGCTTGGAATCGGCAAACGACTATTGACTTATAAAGCAAAAATGAGTCTCTCCTTGTGGAATTCCTTGCTTCGCAAGTGGAAGAGGTGTTGGATGAGAGCATGTCGCGCTTACGCGAACCCTAGTACAAAGATGTGCCAATGTAAGGCGAATGAGACGCGATCAAGTATAACACGAATAGGTCTTCCCGGCAACTGTCAAGTGGTCAGACAAAACAGCTGTTTAGAACAAATTTGCGTACATTTTCGACTTTATCAAGGATAAACTGTAATATTGCCAAGGAACTGGTTGAAAATCGATATCTGGCTATCGATTTAAGAGTGAACTTTTCATTTCAGGTATTGTTCAAATACTCAAAGAGTTCTTCGAAAAAATCGGTCAACACAAGTTCCTGGTCAGTTCACACCTTCTTTCCCCAGTACTTCCAGTTGAAATATATAAATGCTAATGAACGAGTGAATGGGTTTAACGGAGAGAACGGACTTTAGAACACAAGAATAGAGCCGAGCCCTATAGAGATTAAATCTACTCCGAGATTAAACCTTTCTCCACAATTTTCAGGACACAGTTTTCCTTCAACTTCTTGTTACAGAAGGTCTTTCTGGAAGCCGGATTCCTCCTTTTCCAATTCTTGTGCTACATTACTGCGCAATAGAATCTTTCGAATCTAATCTTTTCACTGCACCCGTTTAGGCTACAAAGTTGGAAGCCTCGATTATAAATGTAGATGTAACAAAACTCAAAAAAGTGAACATAACATGTAAAATTTGCAAGAAAAAATATTAGATTTCCAAATTTAAAGTCTACTCTTGGCCTATATTTTTTGTATCAATAACAACACTTTTTCGACGCTATGACACAGTCTCATTACTTCAGACAACCAACGTCTCTTATCAAGGCACCGATGACTACCTGATGGCTGAATGCGATTTCGAAGTGCGAGCGGAAAAAGGAGGGGACCCTCTCAAAGGCAAAATGAACCATATCTGGAAGAAAGAAGATGGAGAGTGGCGTATTTATCATGAAGAATTTGAAATGAAGTAAACAACTCTGCCAATTCACTTCGAAATAACTTTTTTCGTCCAGTTCTGTAGTTCGATAGCACAAGATGAGCGTTGAAGAGAATAGAGAGAGCGAAAAAATAAAATGAAAGGGCTAGTGAGGGATAAGAAGCAAAGAATTGACTGACTGAAGGGGTGAATAAGTCCATTAGGATTTGGAGAAGCCTCTCTTCGTTCGTCTG